TTCTAAACCAAACTTTCCTCCTCCATCCTCATCATTTCCAGGAGTTATCTGTGTGTTCTGTCCATGTAAGAAATCCTAATGGACCAGTGGGAAACCTACAGCTCCCAACTGCAGCAGGAAATCAAACTGGATCAAGATAGAAAGAAATATCTGAAACAGTGTTGAGTGTTTTTTATTGGGTATTTCCCTTACTTCAAGTGACAGAAATTGGTATGTATATAAATATAATAAAATATAAATATATATATAGATATAAATATAGATTATATATACACAAAATATTTATATTTATAAGATGATATAAACAATGACAAGATCAAGCATGATATCCAATGTTTGCATTTATAAGATAACATTTTACTAGACCTTAAAAGATGAACCTCTCTGGTAAACACAGAGTGCCATCCAATGCAGCTGGAGCAGGAGGTGTATTTCTTCCAGAGAAATCCCAACAATTAAAAAATCCAACTGATTTCAACCCTCCTGTTGATTACTCAGATAAAAACGACTCTCCTGATTTACAACTCCAACAGAAATCCCAGTAAGGAAGCAGCCAAGTGCTCCTCCTGAGCAGTGGTTTGGGATGGGGACCACCATCTGGAGACATTTTCCCCCCACATTCCAGGATCTGGATCTCCTCTGCCTGAACTCTGGAGAACCATCTCATGGACTGGGAAAGAAATTCTCAGGGAGGTGCAACTTCCCTTCTGTCACAGGGTGGAGACACAAAGACCTGCTCAGGAGATGCCAGGAAACGGATGAACAAGGACAGTACCAACAAAAAATATCAATCCGTTTATAAATAACTTTTTGAGTTCTCCTGACAACTCTAAGAACAGTCACAGAAAGCAATGCACATGTTAGAGCATTAATTGCCTGCAGCAAGTGCCTAAAACATGTGAGAAGTGGCTGGAGGGAGGAGAAATTGGGCTCCCAGACCTCAGATTTCAGTTGCTACATTAAACAAACACCAAGGGATGAAGCTGCCTAAACAGCAACACCTTGTTTGCCAGGAACCAGCAATTCCAAACCAACCTGGGGGTTGGAGAACTCAGGGAGCTCAGCCAAGAGCCAAGCAGAAAACACAGATTCAAGTCCCCCTTGTACTTAAGAAAAGCAGTTTTCAGGGATAATATTCACCTCCTCTCTCAGTAATGGGCCATTTTGATACTGCAGTAAAGCTACTGTGGAATGCAGCTCCTACAGAAACACCTCAGCAAGTCCTGGGATACTAAACAGGAATATTCCATGGATATATTTATGTACCATATATATGTGTGTGCACAGACACAAATATATAAAGCAATAAAGCCACAGACTCCACTGAGAGACCACAAGACTCTTTAAACCTGCCCGTGGATTTCTAGGGATTGTGATTTCTTATCAATTTATCCCTCATTATTGATCAATTATTTATTATCAATTCCTTGCTACAGAATGATTTTTTTCCCATACAATAGTAACTGGGAAAAGTAGATCTGGGCAGAGATTACCCCTCAGTGGTTTGAAATAGGTATAAAAACAGTTCTTTGCACCCAGCAGCTTGTTTGTGTCACAGCCAGAAATCAATCTATAGCTATTCACCCCACGCAGTGCATAATAAAACCCACAGGTAGGAACTTCCACAGCAAAACTAAAGACAGATCCTTGAGGCAGAGTATGGAAAAGGCCAAAAGAACCTCGTGGCAGCTTTCAAAGAATACTTATTTTAAAGCTAAGGAAGTAAGGAAGTCTCAGACCTACCTTAACATTGTCTGACTTCAACTCAAAATCGGTGTAAAGTCCTTTCAGAAAACCTGTCACCCTGATTACCTAAAAAACAGAAGAGAAGGAGCAAGTTAAGAACACTCAAAGTCTCTGCTTTAAGTAATAAATTAGGAAGTAATAAAAAGTAAGTAATACAGCTCCTGGGGCAGCAGGAAATCTGTTGGCCTTGGTGTGACATCTTTAGAACTGGTTTTAGAGCAGGTTCCCTCCTTGCAGCTCAGGCCTCCCTTCCTTTTCCATTCCATCTTTAACCTTGATGGTTGGTAAATCCAAGAGATTTTTAATGCAAACAACAGCAGGGCAATTTAAAGGAGGCTCAGGGGGGACCTTCTTGCTTTCCACAACTCCCTGACAGGAGGGGGGAGCCAGAGGGGGGTCGGGCTCTGCTCCCAGGGAACAAGGGACAGGAAAAGGGGAAACGGCCTCAAGCTGTGCCAGGGGAGGGTCAGGTGGGACATGAGGAGGGATTTCTCCATGGAAATGGTGGTCAGGCATTGGCAGGGGCTGCCCAGGGAGGTTTGGAGTGCCCATCCCTGGAGGTGTCCAAGGAAGGCCTGGCACTGAGTGCTCTGGGCTGGGGGACAAGGTGGGCATCGGGCACAGGGGGGACTCCGTGATCCTGGACATCTGTTCCAACCTCATTCATTCTGGGGCTTAATTTCCAACCCTCTGCTGTTAGGAATTGCACAACAGAAATGTTTGGTCACCATTTAAACAACAATAATAACAACAGACAGAGAGCACAGGAGGTTCAGCAGAGTTTGAGCCCCACACAAGTACATTGTCAATATTAACGATTTTAATCTGTATTGTTTATTTTTCACTTTATTCATTGGTCATTTAATACCATTTATTAGATTTGAAGCTTCAGAACCTTTTAAAATTTGGGATATGGACATACTGATCACATGACCAGATGCTCTCACCCTTTATCTCCAAGGAAATCTTTTCCTCAGGCTCCTGCCAAACAGCCAAGGGCATTTCAGTGATCCCAGAGCTGCACATTTCTAAGGAATGGGGTGTGATCCAGTAAGGTGGATAAAGATGGGTAATTCCTAGTGGATTTATGAGCAGGAATCTAAAGATGTTTTCCTGTTTTTAGAAGGATTTGGTTTCTTCATTCACAGAATCATCACAGGTTGATGTCAGAAGGACCTTAAAGCTCATCCCATTCCATCCCCTACCCCAGGTTGCTCCAACCTGGCCTTGGACACTTCCAGGGATGGAGCAGCCAACAGCTTCCCTGGGAATTCCATCCCAGACCCTCCCCACCCTCCCAGGGAAGAATTCCTTCCCAATATCCCAGGTTGCTCCAACCTGGCCTTGGACGCTTCCAGCGATGGGGCAGCCAACAGCTTCCCTGGGAATTCCATCCCAGCCTCTCCCCACCCTCCCAGGGAAGAACTCCTTCCCAATGTCCCACCTAACCCGGCTCTCTGCCAGCGCGAACCCCTTTTCCCAGCGCCCCCCACGCCACGTTTCCCCCCCGCCCGCCCCAGCTCCCGCGGTGCCCTCGGCACTCCGGCCGTGCCCTGGGCGTGTGCCCAGCCCGGGGGTGTCCCTGGCAGGGTGGGGAGCGCTGGCGGTGCCCGGGGGTGTCCCTGGCAGGGCAGGGGAGCGCTGGCGGTGCCCAGGGGTGTCCCTGGCAGGGCAGGGGAGCGCTGGCGGTGCCCGGGGGTGTCTCCGCTCCCACCTCGGAGATGAGGTCGTGCAGGTACCGGAACGGCGGCTTGTTCAGCAGCGCGTCCGTCAGCGGCGGCTTGCGGATCACCTGCCCCAGGCTCTCCCGCGTCCGCCGCGCCACCGCCTCGTTCATGGCGGCGGCGGCGGCGGCGGCCCCGGGCCCCAGCGCTCAGCCGGGGCTCATCCCAGGGGGAATCCAGCGGCAAATCCCACCGGGAGAGCACCGGCAGCGGCCCGGCCGCGCTCCCGGCGTGCCCCGCGCTGCGCATGCGCGCGGCGCGTTGCTAAGGGACAGCGCGGCCATAGCAACCGCGTATCCCTGAGGGGAAAAAAACCTGGAAAGGGCCCCAAAGCCGCCCCGTCCCGCCCCTCGGTGGAATAATCGGCGAATAAATGAAAGCTAGGGCAGAGGGCGGTGGATAAGAGCGGAAAGTTGGGGGGTTTACTGCGGTGATGGTGTTTGGTTTTGTCGCTAAAGGGCTGTTTCCATGATCCTGGTGGGGGGAGCCAGCACGGGAAGGAGAGGGAGATGTTGGAGCATCTTGGTGCCTCCTCTGGACTCGCTTCGAGTGGTGGAGCCCCTGTGCCATGGAGCCACGCTGGGAGAGCTGGGATTGTCCAGCTTGGAGAAGGGAAGGCTCCAGGGAGACCTGAGAGCATCTTCCAGGGCCTAAAGGGGCTCCAGGAGAGCTGGAGAGGGACTGGGGACAAGGGATGGAGGGACAGGATAAGGGGGAATGGCTTCCCACTGCCGCAGGGCAGGGTTAGATGGGATATTGGGAAGGAGTTCTTTCCTGGGAGGGTGGTGAGGGGCTGGGATGGAATTCCCAGAGAAGCTGTGGCTGCCCCATCCCTGGAAGTGTCCAAGGCCAGGTTGGACAGGGCTTGGAGCAACCTGGGATGGTGGAAGGTGTCCCTGCCCACGGCAGGGGATGGAATGGGATGAGCTTTCAGGTCCCTTCCAACCCAAACCATTCTGGGATTCTGGGGCTGCTGAGAGCCACAGCATAGCCCAGCCTGGATATTTTCCATAATATCCAAATCAAACCTCCCCTGGCACAGCTTGAGGCTGTTTCCTCTCATCCTGTCCCTTGTTCCCTGGGAGCAGAGCCCAACCCCACATGGATTCACCCTCCTGTCAGGGACTTGTAGACAGCATTAAAATCCCCTATGAGAGAGAGGAAAGAGTTTGAAAGTCATTAATTTAGTAACTGGAGTCTGTATTAACATTATTAAAACCTTTGCTGTATAATTCAAGCAGAAATAAAGGATCAGCCCATTTCCTCTCCAGTAAACACCAGACTGTGCTTCTGAAAATGGGGAAAAAACACACTAAAATAACTTTAAACTTGCATCCAAATCCCAATTCTCCAGCTGAACCCAGGTCTTTGCACAGCACAATCCCACCTGGATCGGGAATACTTCAAACAGAGATGGGAATGTTGGTTTAGGAACAGATTGGAAAATTAAAGCTAATTAAGGCTGTGGCCCCTCCAATGTTAAACACCAATTTGTGCCATTCCCAGTGAGACATCCAGAGACAAAGCAACTAAGCATCTAGAAATGACATTTTATTTCGTGAAGAACACTTGAAAAATAAAGATGAAAGCTTTTCCAGGCTTTGCAACCATCATAACCCACGGAATCACAAAGACTCCGTTTTCCAAAGGGGTTCCCTCTCCCTATCCCCCCCCGTTTTCCACAAACTCTCTTCCTTGTGGAATGACCCACAAGAGTTTTAAGGAAAAAAAAAAAAATATGCATTTTTGAGCCAATATGAAAAATAATCCCAGATTGGTTCAGTGCAGGTGCTGCTACATTACACTTGAACAAAGGCACAAAATCCCCTCTTGGAATTCCCACTTGAGTTTCTCCAACCTCGGTGTTCTCTGGGAGAAAGCAGAGTTCTCAAAGGGGGAAGGCTGAGCTCGGTCCAGCTCTCCAGCAAGAGCTGGAGGCACTAAAGGGACAACAGAGAAGTGCAATGCAGTGGAACCACCTGGAAACACAAAGCTTTCCAGTCAGCACCTGGATCCCTCCTGGAAACATGGGCTCCCAAGAACACTTGATTTGGAAGAAGGCGACAAAATAAGATAGGAAAGCATCGGCTGCCCTCACCTCAGGCAGGAAACCTACCCATGAAACCAGGATTTCAGGATTCAAGTGAATTCAAGGACATTAAAGAGCCCCTTCTGGAGTGATCGGCCCCAAAAAGCACAGAAGCTGAATTTTAAAGATATGAACAGAAATAAATAAATACTAATCATGTGCTTTGTAGCACTTTTCACTTCTTATTCTTCTCTTTTTGCTGATATCTGAGTGTCAGTTTTTATCTTTCAGCTGTCTGAAATACCAGAATTTTCTTAACCTCTAAAAGGTACAGGAAAAATCCCACCTTAGGCAAAATTTTAGGAGTCTGCTGAACTGGCAGCTCCTGCTACAAAATCTCCTCCACTGTCAAATATTTGCTGCAGTTCCCAAAAGCAACTTGTATTTTGTCCTCTCATTATTATTAGTTAGGGATAATCAGGCTTACTTTTGATCTTAATACTTCAGGACTTTGGACACGGAGGCCTGATGTCAGAGGCTCCACCTCAGCCCTGTGACACCAAGAGAAACATGGCAAATGTAATAGAGTGTTACAACAACTGGAAAGATGAGAAATGAGGGAAATTCCTCCGAAAAAAGAGCACAGAAAATAAATACAAGCCCTTTTCCTGAGTACAGTAAAACCCACTTAACTCCAAACATTGGATCTGTCAACTCTTTCCAACCGTTTTGTCTGTTAATGAAACTTATGGACAACAAAAAAGTCCTAGAAACTGCAAAATTCAATTTAGTGGCAACAAAAAAAAGCCCTAGAAACTTCAAAATGTAAGAGTACCACACTCTTGTTCCAGGTCACAGAAGCCCTCTGGGTTTTACATCTTGACAGATCCTGAATTTGCCCTTTTTTCAGCCCATTCTGTACACTTTGTTCAGAGATTTCCATGTTTCCTTCATTCCTCAAGTCTGGCTCCAGCTCCTACAGACTTAGGTTTACATATAAAGAGAGAAAAGCAAATTCTGGTACTGGCAGTAACTTCAGTGATGAGGGATGGGAAAAAAAAAATTCTACAGAGAGATGATTCTGACTGGATTAAAACTCAGTAGTGATGGTGCAACGTGTCAGACCTGCCCCAAAAAAATCCATTTAGGGAGAATACAAAAGAGTCAGCAATATCATTGAATATATTACTCCATTTCCTCCTAGATAAAGTGCATTTACCCAGCCTGAGAGTAGGTACCACGTGGAGAAAGGGACACTAAAGCACTTCCCCAAGAGAGAGCAGAGAAAAGCCCGAGTTATCCTGAATCCTACCCCCCAGTTTGGCTCCGGGATTCTTGAGGGCACTTTGGGAAAGCCCCTCTGGCTGCTCCATGTAGGTAGATGGATCCAGTGTGTTGTGGTGAGCAAAGCCCCTCCTGTGCTATCTGAAAACCCCCACGTTGATGGAAAGAGCCACTTCTGGTTTCCGGGGCTTCGTGTGCAGCTTCTCCTCCAGGAAAAAGGGCTCCTGGACACTCCTGGCTTGGCGACTGTGGGAATAAAACAGTCAGGAGGGGGATTAATTTTAGTCTTGAGCTTTAGCACCCACAGCAGACGAGCCTGGACTGATCCCCAGGTTCCAATGAGTTGTAAGAATGAACCACGAGCTCAGCCCGACCAGCTGTGCAAAGCCAACCAGTCAGGAATTCCCTTTTCCTCATCCCCGCAGTGTTGCAACAGAAAAAACTGAGGCTCCCTGTAGGAACTTAGAGCCATGAGCTGGAATTATCCAGGTGCTTCCTGCAGGACCACTGGAATTGTGTGCTCTGAGAGCACTCAGCTACCACTGGTCCAAAAAACCACCCAGGTATCAAATTAATTCATTGAATCCCTGACTAGCTGGGGTTGGAAGGGACCTGAAAGTTCATCCAGTCCAACTCCCTGCCATGGGCAGGGACACCTTCCACCATCCCAGGTTGCTCCAAGCCCTGTCCAGCCTGGTCCTGGACACTTCCAAGGGTGGGGCAGCCACAGCTGCTCTGAAAAGCAGCAAAGAACAGTTTTTCTAATGAAAAATAAATGCAAATACTCAGTACCTTTTCTTTTTTTCCAGGGCCAGCTGCCTTTGCTTCTCTTTCCCAATGTCATCTCTCACGGTGCTGAAGTCCTTGGTGTCATCAAGGAGAAGGTTCTGTTGGGGAAAAGGATTTGATCCATGGAAGTCAGAAGCTCAAACTATTTCCCACCTGTCACTCAGTTGACATAATTCATTTCTGAGAGCATTTCTGACTGCTTTTACACCAATTAACTTCAAGTTAAGTACAATCCCAGAAGGGTTTGGGTTGGAAGGAACCTTAAAAGCTCATCCAGTCCCACCTCTTGCCATGGGCAGGGACACCTTCCACTAGCCCAGGTTGCTCCAAGCCCCATCCAACCTTTTACACTTCCAAGGATGGATTTGTTCCACAAGTCTAAGGCAGCAGGATGGGACATCAGATTTTTCTCCTACTGCTTTAAAACCCAGCCAGTATGTTCTTTCCTTCTCCTAAACAAGCCTGATTGCTAATTCAGAGCTCAATACACTGTCTTTTTTTACATCATTAAATAGATCTGTCCATTTTTTGGAATATGTAATGGGTTTACATCCATAATGGGATTTTTAAAGGGCACTGTCCTTGGATTTTATACAGAATTAAAAAAAAAAAAAACACAAACAGTCAGTTAAATGAGGGCCAGAAAAAAGAACCAGGAGAAAAAGGAGCAGCAGCAGCAGCACATTTCCCACCCACATGTCCAAACCCACATCCCAGTACCTCCAGAGATGCAGCAGGAAAACCAGGAAGACTAAATCCCAGGTGATTTACCTTCACCCCAATGATGTCTCCATCCCTCAGGTGATAAGGTGCTGACTGCAAACTCTCCTGCTTTTTCCTCCTTTTCCTCTTGGAAATTTGCTGTGTCTGAATTAAAAAATAAAAAAAAAAAAAAATCAAAGCAGAAGATTTTTGGAATTCTCCTGAAATATGATTACAAAGGAACTGCAGCACAAACCAACACATTCCTCTCCAACAGCTGTTGGATTGTGTCATTCCAGCTCTTACCCAGCTGGATATTGGCAGCCACTCGAATCTCTCCGGGAAGTATTTGGCTATTTCGATTTTCTCCACAGGGAGACAGTAGTGAGAGGCCACTCTCTGCCTCAGTGCCCAGGTGGTGCATTCCTTGGAGATATCCCACACCAAATCCCTGCAGTCAGAGTAGTCCCTTTCTCCCGGAATTCCCATCTGGACTCGCAACAGCAGCTCATGGGGGCTGGCAGCAGGAGGAAAGAACAGACGTTCTTGTGAGTCATGCTTTCAGAATTCCCAGTTTTCACTCCCTCCTGCCTTCCCTCACGAAAAACAAGCTCTAAGTCTTCCTGAATCCTCCCATTTCTAATCCTGCCAGCACTGGAGTTAAAAGCTGCTCAGTAAAGGCTCCTCTCAAATGCAGAACTGAAAGAAAAGAAGTGTCTTGAGCTCTTACCCCAAATTCTCTTCTTTTTGCAGAGGTTCTATGCAGATTCCCATGCTGGCACCCAACTTGTAGTCACTGGAAACAAAAGAGAGATCCTCTGAAGCCAGGCTTGAAGAGCTGGGGCTGGAGAAGGGAAGGCTCCAGGGAGAGCTGAGAGCCCCTTCCACAGCCTAAAGGGGCTCCAAGAGCTGGAGAGGAACCTGGGACAAGGGATGGAGGGACAGGACAAGGGGGAATGGCTTCCCACTGCTACAGGGCAGGGATAGATGAGATATTGGGAAGGAATTCTTGGCTGGGAAGGTGGTGAGGGGCTGGGATGGAATTCCCAGAGAAGCTGTGGCTGCCCCATCCCTGGAAGTGTCCAAGGCCAGGTTGGACAGGGCTTGGAGCAACCTGGGCTAGTGGAAGGTGTCCCTGCCCATGGCAGGGGGTGGGATGGGATGAGCTTTAAGGTCCCTCCCAACCCAAACCAGTCTGGGATTCTCTCATTCCTGTCATCTCTTCTAAATTACTCTTTTAATGGATCTGTGCTCACCTGGAACACCACAGCAAGAGGCTACTGGAACACAAATGGAAAAGGCAGAAAAGGACAAAAATTACCTAAATTAAAGTACCTAAATTGAAGCTCAGCAGAATCCCAGAATGGTTTGGGCTGGGAGGAACCTTAGAGACCATCTCCTTCCAACCTTCTGCCATGGGCAGGGACACCTTCCACTGGAATAACCGTGGCAGTTATCCCAGTGTATCCCAATTTAAAAACATGCTCAGTAAAACCGAAGCAACCAGAAATGGGCTTTCTGCTGACAGGCATCTGATTTATTTCCCCACCAATCCCTCCCACAGTTCCAAAGCCAGTTGCACATTTCCCAAAAAACCTACTTGAGTCTCTGCTTGTTGTTCCTCAGGAGCTTTCCAGGGCGTTTGCTGTCCACTGTCCACGCCCTGAGGAACGAGGGCAGGGGCACAACCTGCTCCTGGCAGCATGGCAAGGTCAGGGCCTGAGAGAAAGGAACATCTTGTCAGTAATTTTAGCACCCATTCCCCTTGGAAAAAGAGAAAACCACTGGATTAACTCCCAAGGCAACACTCAAAACTGCATTTATTGCACACCAGCTGTTGCTTGTGGTTATGATCAAAATATTCCCTTTTCAAAGGGAGTTGAGCTTCACTCCCTCCCAACATTTCTTAACTCAACTTATATTCCCAAAGTACCAAATTTCTTTTTTTAAGCAAATTTTGAACATCTGGGAGGGAATGAGGCTGTTGGAATCGTTTCCCAGTCTCTACGAGCTCCTCCAAGCCCTCACCAAGGACTCCCCCCTTCCCATGCTCAGACAATTCTCCTGTTTTCCCAAGCTGCAAACAGGCAGTTTTCCACAGCAGGAGCTTGGCAGAGCCTGAAACCAAAGGCATTCCCAAAAAATAAGTGTTGGGATGGACCAGAATCTAATGAGATATCCTTCCCCATGCAGTTCAGGACAACAAAGAGCCTTCTGGTAGGACTAGCTCATGTATTTTTGTGGTGGTTTTTTGGTTGGGTTTGGGGGTTTCTTTTCCTTTAGGGGTGTTTTGTTTGGTTTTTGGGTTTTGGTGTGTTAAAATCTTACGTTTCTGGTTAAAAAACAGCAAAGGCACCTTAGTTTCTGGCCAAAGAAACTAAGCCAGACCTTCCTGAATGACAAATGTGACCTTCTGTGCACCCAGAACAATTCTTCAACACCAAAAAAATCAAAAGAAGAAGCAGAAAACTAATAGAGGAACAACGTGGGAATGGCAAGTGGCTTTTTTAGGAAGTGCCTGGATGTGTGGTGCTTCTCATGGAGAAACTGGACCCAGTGATGCAAAGCCAAAGGCTGCAAAGCCAGAGTTCCAGGCGAAGTGCAACGAGGCTTCCCCAGGCCAGGAATCACGAGGGGGAGGAGGGTAACTGCAGGGACACTCAGGAAGTGTCTGAGCCACGTGCTCCAAATGCCCCTTGGTTCTCAGCCCTGAGCATGGCACGAAAGAATTGCCCCAACACACTGGAGACCAGGGAAAAGGAAGTGCACAGGAGGTGTTAGCAGAGCTCGAGTCCCCCCAGCGCTGCCCTCATCCCCCCAGGGAGAACATCTCACCTGCACCTTCAGCTCCTCCAAAGAAGCTTCTCCTGCTATTTCTATCCTGCCAGCATAACAAAGCTCCATGGAAGGGTGGCTGGTTTCTAGGGAAGCTTTGGGGAGGGGGGAGGAAGAAACAAACAGAGGAGTCATCATGATTTTGTTCATAATCCTGAGAGATCACAGTCCCTTCACGGGGAGATTCCACTTCCAGAAGGGACCTGCCCTCCCATTGTTTTGTAGAGAATCAGAATATCATGGAATTCCAGAATGGTTTGGCTTGGAAGAGATCTTAAAGATCCAACTCCCTGCCACTCCCTTCCACTAGAATAAGCACAGTAGGATCTACTTATACACAGTAGATAAAATCCGTTCCAATGGTTTCCAAACAAGGAGGGTTCCAACAGATCCTAGAATGCCAATTTTTAAACTAGGAGCAGTTATTCCCATTGTTAAATAGGATTAATTGTTGGTTATGACTCTGAAATGTAAATCCTACTGCAAGGAAAGGTAAATCTGCCCTCAGCTGCTGAAATCATCAGGGGAGAAAGTAAAACCCAGAAAAGGTTTGAGAGAGAGGAGAAAAATGCAAAGAAACCTCCAAGGAGAGGGGTCCTGCCCTCCAAAACAACTCAGCAGCAAAGAAATATTCTTTTCCTGTAGAAAGGAAAATCTGTTTGTTTCCCATTTTCCAATTTAGTGATTCCCACTTCATTTCCCTCTCCCTTCTCAACCCTCACTTGGTTTTGCTGCCCCAGCTGGTTTCTGATGTGACCTTTAAAAGAACAAACACACTTAAAATCCTGCATGTGAGGTCTTTTATACCATGGGAGCTTTACTCATCGCTCCTTTTCCAGCTTCCCAAAAAGCCAAACAGCCTGAAGGGAATTAAATGTGCTATTGGGAGTCTGGCATTTGAAGCCAAATCACCTCTGTGCTTTAAAATGCTGCCACTGCCTTCAGGGACAGAATAAGGAACCCTTGCTTCAAAACCTACCGAGATCTTGAGAAAACCCACCTGAGGAACATCACAACAGGATTATCCAGCATTTATGGATTTGTCACAAACTCCCTTTGGCTCCTTTCACCACAGATGTGCTGCAACTTGTACAGTGCCTCGTGGATTGCAGAAGGATTTAAGGCTCTGCATTAAAGTTCTGGGCTTGACTCCAAACCCTCAGAGCAGCCCCAGGTGATTCCTTCCCAAGCCTGGCCAAGCTCACCTGTGCCAGCAGACACCTGCAAAGCTTCCATCTGGCAGGTCAGCCCATTCACTTGGTCCTGAGCATTCTCTCCATGTTTCTTACGGCTTGAAGGCCTGAGCCACCAGATAGGAATTTTCAGGAAACCCTGGAAAGTGAACAGAAAGCACTGGGAAGTTTCTGTTTCAGTGCAAAGGAATAAAATTTCCCTTTTGTCACAGGAAGGAGGAAAAGACTTGTTCAAAAAGATTTGTTCTGAAACAGGCTGCCCAGGGAGTGGTGGAGACACCACCCCTGGAAGTGTTCAAAAGCATGGATGTGGCACTTGGGGACACAGTGTAGTGGTGAATATGATGGTACTGGTTCAAGGTTGAACTTGATGACCTTAAAGGTCTTTTCCAGCCCTAATGATGCTACATTTTTGCAAGGGACACCTTGCCCTAGCCCAGGTTGCTCCAACCTGGCCTTGGACACTTCCAGGGATGGGGCAGCCACAGCTTCCCTGGGCAACCTGGGCCAGGGCCTCCCCACCCTCACAGAGAGGAATTTCTTCCCAACACCTAATCCAGGGATTCATCAAAGCTCACCCACTACAACACTGCTCAGCCTCTTCAGAAACTCCTGGTTCTCCTGATAGGTTTTCCCACCTGCTCTGCATGGCCAGGAAGGGACATGGAGTTGATCCCTGTCTCCTTTCCCGAGCAGGAGAGCTTCCTTGCTTCCAGATGCTGCTCTCAACACCCACAGCACTGTGGCCATAACCTCTTATCCTACATTTTTTCCCAAGAACAAACGTATTACAAACCTCTGGTTTTCCCTGAGGAAGCTTTACTTGCTAAGAGCCCCATTCTCTGCCCACTTGTCTCCTACCCTGCAATTTCCAGCTTCCCAACACTTCATGGGATACAGCTGGGGCACAGATCCATGGTTTTCCATGCCTCTTGGATCACCAGTTGTGTTTATTACCCTCCTTTCCTTCCACAGTCCAAGGAATAGGTGCCAGGTGTGTGACAATCACTTGGATGAGATTTGTCAATGAAGGGCAAAACCCTGAGTTTTCTGTAATCCAGGGGGTGAAGAGCAGGGCAGGCTGAGGGTGGGACCCTGGAACAGGTTCTCCAGAGAAGCTGTGGCTGCCCCATCCCTGGAAGTGTCCAAGGCCAGGTTGGACGGGGCTTGGAGCAACCTGGGATAGTGGAAGGTGTCCCTGCCCATGGCAGGGATGGGACTGAATGAGCTTTAAGGTCCCTTCCATGATTCCACTTAGTTGTTGAATTCTGCCCCAAATACCAGAGGGCAGGGTTAGATGGGATATTGGGAAGGAATTCCTGGCTGTGAGGGTGGGGAGGCCCTGGCCCAGGTTGCCCAGAGAAGCTGTGGCTGCCTCTGGATCCCTGGAAGTGTCCAAGGCCAGGTTGGACGGGGCTTGGAGCAACCTGGGATAGTGGAAGGTGTCCCTGCCCATGGAAGAGCATGGAATGAGAAGATCTTTAAGGTCTCCTCCAACCCAAATCACTCTGGGATTCTGGGATTCCAAGTCTCTGTCCACTGACTAAAAAAAACACAATCCCTCTTGTTTTACCTTTTCTGGAAGTTTTCCTTCTGTTATGACCAAAGTGTCTCCTCTGCACACATTGAGTTCCTTCAGGGTGGCATTCTGTGGGAAGAGAAAAGCCAAGGCTATTTGTGAATCCCCAAGCTGTTCAGTGCAGCTCTGCCCAGGAAAAGTCTCTACAGAACAGGGAGGAAAGAAACTCAAGGCAAAAAGAGGATCCTCTTACTTCCTGACTTAGTGCTTCCCCTGCTTCATAGCACCAGTCAAGCCTTCTCAAATGCCAGTTATCACCTACCAAAAACCAAAAAATACACATGCAAAACTAATTAGCCAATGATGCTGGTTTGGGAAAACATTACACAACTTAATAAGCATAAAAGGTTCTTTTTTCTTGGGTTTTCTGTTTGGTTTTTAAACACAACTCTGGCTAAATGAAGTATTGCCTTCATGCCCTTCCCCAGACCCAAGAAACACTTTGCATAAATGTCTCTTCCTCACCCATCTAATTCTCCCTGGTTTAAGAGGAAAGAGAAGGAATTCCAATGTCAATTTACCATTTGAATCTATGACAAGCTCTTTAAAATAAAAATTACATTATAAAGACAGCAAGTTTAGAACTCTTTCCTCTCCTCACAGGTGATTGCAACAAATAGACAAGGTTTAGGGTGGCAAGAGCTGTCTAAGAAATATGAAGAATTCCTTTTAAAAGTAAATAACAACACAACAAACCTGATAATCCACATTTCTGCAGCATTAAATTGAGACACTGAAAAAAGAAACACAGGGTGAGATTTGTCTCAATGCCCAGGTTGAGAAATAAAAGTTTTCAGCACATTTTCTAACAAA